TWGTTTAACTGTGATGATGAACCTTTGGAGCTTTGCACTGTGGAATGAAAGCACTGGGATTTCCTATGTTTTAAAAACCAAACAAAAGCCCCCAAACAACTGACTGAATCTAGGAGCAAGTCAGTGTTCAGTTTGTATCTTGACTCTCAGTACTCCAAAAGGCTTACAGAGCTGTGTACCTTAGAGGACTGCTCAGTATTGCAGCTTTGTGTTGCTTTGTTCCCTGTGTGCAGGTGGTGGAGTACGGGCTCTTTGTGAAGCACTATAAGGTTGAGGTTTATCTTCTGGAGCTGAAGCTGTGTGAGAGCAGCGATCCTGACAATGTCATCAGCTGCCACTTCAGCAAGGCAGATACTGTTGGTAAGCAATTCTCTGATTGATGAAGCTGTGCTCTGAGACTGTCTCAAAAGATAATCTGTGCCCTCCAGAACCCTCAGACTGGAGCAAATCTGACTTATCTCTCTCTCATTGCTATATTTTTCACATGTAAAACTGCTGAATGTCAGCTGTCCTATATGTACGTTAATAAATTGAAAAAAGCATCTTTATGGGTAACTTGACAGTAGTAACTGAAAACTTGAACCTGTGTTTTCACATGAAGAGAAGTTGGCCTTTGGGCAGGAAATTCTCAATATGTTCTGCATGTTAYTCATTTGAGGGCTTGACAGGTGAATACATGACTGAAAATAAGTTTTTCATTCTTYCAGACTGAATATTAGACAAACTATATGAACAATTTTAATGTCCATAATATGTTTTCTGTTTGAAGGCTCTTGAAGGATAAGTGATGTACCTCCTTGCAGAATGAGTGTCTTAATGCTTTTTCWAAAGTACTCATGTTTTAGGAATTATAGTGGATTTTTTTTTTCTCCTGAACAGCTACCATCGAGAAGGAAATGAGAAAACTATTTAACATCCCAGCTGAGAAAGAAACCAGGCTATGGAACAGGTATATGAGTAACACTTACGAGCAGCTCAGCAAGCTGGATAGCACAGTGCAAGATGCAGGACTCTATCAGGGTCAGGTAAGGGGCATTTTTTTTCTTT